CGCTCTACACCTGCTATCATCGCTCTATACCTGCTCTCATCTCTCTGCGTCGACTCTTGTCTACTTTTCCATCGCCGTGACCTCGTTCTGCATCCGCCCGTATCCTCGCTTCGCAACATAAACAATTTCAAGATGGACACAACAAACATATATAACGCATGGGAGTCATTGAAGAGGTCCGCTCGCAAGTTCTGGGTCCTTCCGGGTCCCGTGCCCGTCGCCTTGTACTCCTTCAACCCTCGACGTGTGTCCCCGCTCCTCAAGGACGACGTCAAGAACTTCGTGGCCGACGTCCTCCAAGTCGATCAAGACAGCGACGGTGTTGAAGTTCCAATTGACCGGCATACCTACGAGATGACCAAGAAGGTGAGCTTCCTGACCTGTTACTGGCCAAGCACCGAGCTCATCAGTGCAACAGCTCCATCTGCGTATCCGAGAGGAGGTTCGTGTCGGTACCAAGGGGAAGTCCTCTGCAGAGGCTCGCATTGCCAAGGTTCGTAAACCGCTCACTGCACTGATGACCGCGACGTGGCTCACACAAGTCACTCAGGAGATCAAGGAGACCAGCAAGGCACTCAAGAAGGTCGCTCGTCGGCGCGACAGGGTCAGTGCAATTTCACACGGACATCGCCAGGAACTCGCTCTGCTACGGTCCCAGCCTCCATGCGAGCCGCCAGCCGCCTGTCAGCCTCTCGCATCGCCAGCTCAGCCCACCTCCCGCCAGGCGATGCGCGAGGCTCGGTTCGCAGAGAAGCACATGGGCGTCCCCCGCACCATCTACCTCGCCACGAAGGCCATCAACGGTCAGCATCCCTCGCTCACCAAGTCTGTGGAGGGGCATGGCCGCGAGACGCACCGTTCCCCGCTTGTGCGTCGGGCGAGGGCGCATGGGTTGCCGTTCTGCGGGACCGATCGGAGGCCTGCGAACAAGTACCATCCTCCCTTCAATCAGAGCGGGGCGGTCGTACCGGAGGACGTCTTCGCGAACTTTGATGAGGGGAGGGTGGGGACGATAGTGGACTTCCCGAGGAGGGACGGGTATGGGCCTGTGCCGATGGATGTGACAGCTGTCCCACCGGTTTGTCGTCTTCTGTGCTATGGGTGTATGGGGGTGCTCACGAGGTTCCCTGTAGGGGTCGCCGATGAAGGGTCTCAGGTCAGCCCCACTTGAGTACCCGACTGTTGAGGTTCGTGGGATCATCCTTCGTCCTCGTGCGCGTTGGCTGATCACGTTGTCATCGCAGATGGAGGAGACGTCCTCCGAACCAACAGTGTGCTCATCCCCTCCCTCCCATTCTACCCCTGCGCTTCCCCAGTCGCAACGCCCGCCAACAATGTCGACCTACTGCCGCAACCTCGGGCATGTATCGAACGAGATGGCCTACGCCCTCCGGAACATCCGCGCAGCCAACGCCCGGGAGCAGTCCCGGCTCCCTCAGACAACGCCTGTCCGCGTTCGGACCCGAGCCGGACCCACTCGGGCTCGGGTGGTGCCTCCTACGCCAGTCAAGTCTCGGCGCCAGGGACGGCTGGTGTCGGTCGGTGGCCCCTACTAGGGTGCTCGGTCCCCATCCCTAGCCGAGGATGGTAGTCGACCGTCAACACCGACTACTCTCCTCGGCCATCGAGGCCTCACCCCTCATCGACGCGCTTACTCTCTGTCTGGATGCTTTGCTGGCTGCACATCACTTCCTGGTCTTGCCTTTCCCTGTCTCACCTTTCCCTGTCTCAGTCCCTGATTCTCCTTGCGTCGTCTCCCTCGTCTCCCCCAGTTTCCAGGTTCGCGTCTGCCAGCAGCTTCCCTCGCCTTCCATCTATAACAAACAAAGCCACACATACGGTTCAGTGTCTGCGCTCTTCTATCGGCCTCGTTTCCACATACCCCACAGATACGTTTCCTCCCAGGAGTCAACACCTGCACATAGGATTCAACTCCTATACTCCGGACTCGTATTCCCTATATCCTTGGATCTGCGTCCCCATTTCCGTTTGGACTCGCTCGCAATTTCGGCCTCGTTCCATAT